TCATGCCATTAATACTATTAGAAAATAATGCCCTAAAAAAGATTTTATTTAAACTGAGCAAAAATCAGGTCTAAGTATTTGTGGGATTTTTATATTTGTCTGTGATTTGACTAATATTTTCTTAAATATTTCAATATTATTATTGATTGAGAATTTCTTTAAGATAAAAAAGATACAAAAGGCAAAGCAGGGGCTGGGAAGGTGGCTCCGTGGTAAAGCGCTTGCCTTGCATGCAGGAGGCCCTGGGTTCGAATCCTCAGCACCATATAAGCAAAAAGAAAAAAGCCGGAAGTGGCACTATGGCTCAAGTGGTAGCGCACTAGCCTTGAGCTGAAGAGCTGAGGGATAGCATCCAGGCCCAGAGTTCAGGCCCCACGACCGGAGCCCCCCCCCAAAAAAGGCAAAGCAGTGTACAATCGAATCAACTACATATCACACTCAAATTTTACTTACTCTTAACCTACACAGAACACATTTTATAGAAAAATAAAACCTTCTCTGAATTTTGTCTCCTTATGTTAAATAAATGAAAATAAATGTGTCATGAAGGTGGGTGCAGGTGGCTCACATCTGTAATCTTAGCTACTCAGGAGGCAGAGATCTGAGGATCAAGGTTCGAAGCCAGCCCAGGCAGGAAAATCCATGAGTCCCTTATCTCCAATTAAAAACTCAGAAAAATTAGAAGTGGTGCCATGACTCAAGTAGTAGAGCACAAAGAAGCTCAGGGACAGTGGCCAGGCCACACAAAAATGTGTGATGGTATTATCAGATATTCTCTTTCTACTTTCAAGTTAATAATATGATGTGAATGCCTTTAGGGACTGTAACAATCACAATAGAATCAGTTATTAAAGGAGAAGGAGACTACTCTTGGTTAAACGTACACAGTTAAGATATTCCCCTATTGGGAATATAGGTCTATGTGTTTGAGGAAAAAAGGGCTGGTCCTTCTAGAATGAAGGATGCCCACTGTAGTGAGCTTCCTCTCAACTAACCAGTTGGTCTCTTTGGGGAACAGGGCTATGCAGTGGGCATAGTGGATTCATCCCAATGCCTCCCTGATAATCATGTTCCTGGTGAATGGCTTATTATCTAGATATTCCCATGAACATAATTTTCTAATGTGTTTTCTGGCATCACATATCTATTCACTATGCCTACTTTGGGGAAGTTTTTAATTCCTTTCTCTACTGAGTCCTATAATGATTCTGGCAGTTCAACTTTTCTTGACATGGTCTATTATTTTCTAGGCTTCTAGGAGCCACTCCCACAACAAGTTTATGCCAGCTGGTTATGCTCTGACTTAACTTTGATAATAGGACTTGCAACCAGAAGTAGAAACACATTTAGCTCCTGGAAAATGACAGCTCTTTCCTTTTGAGGAGAAAGGTTTCTGTAATGTCTCTTCTGAGTGATAGTTTTCATTAGGAGAAGGATAATTCTGCATGGCCAGAAGATTTAAAAGAAGCCTGCTGAGTGAAAACCTTTAAAGACATCTGGAGAGATTTTGACATCCAATATGTAAGATGTTCAAACTAGAATCCTGACTTTAGAATAATTGATTTATCTCAGTTGTCATTCAATTATCATCAGAGTTCAGCTACTCTAGCCTGTCCTGTCCTTGTTTTTCAGTTTTTTCTGCTTTCTCATTACACACGATGAAGGATTTTCAATCATCTAATAAAAAGCCTCTGAATCTTCTATTCATATTTTTCAATTGTGTTAATTGCCCTCAACTTTTCAGTTCCTACATGTTGGACATAAGTGCAGCCTTTTGGTAACCATGTAATTTAATTTTTTTGTATTTATCATCTCCAGCCCTCATGACTTTCAATTATGTGAAATTACACTGTTCAATCAACATTCCAACACAGAAAGAGAAAGTTCTAACAAGACTATCACCTCATGCTAGATGATGTTGGTATGGCACATTTCACTGAGTCCTCATTACCAGGAAGGCAGTGAGTGATCCAGCCTCTAAATCTAGACTTAATGTTTGTTTCCTTGGTATTTTCTTGGTATCATTAATCACGTGTGGATTTATGCACATAAACATGTAGACAAAATAAGCCCATGGATTTATTGAGGAGTAATACTTGTTAAAAGAGAAGGAAGGAAAAGATATTAGTCAGAGTTGCTGTCAGATGGCAGTGCCAGTCTGACAACTTGTCTACCACACTAACAATAAGTTTGTTAATAAACATTGCCTATTAGAAAAATCCACAGGAGGTGGGAATGGCTTGTATCAACATCTTGCTCAATCACTGGCTGCAAACTACTAAGAGAAGGAAACAGAGCTAACTCTGAACAATTTAATAGAGACAAGTTGTAGTAAGCTCATCTTTTTAACCTGATACTTAAAAAAAAAGTAAAGATGATGTACAGAGAGGTTAAAGTTACATGGGTTATATAGTTGGTACATCTCCTTAACAGTGTCACTCCCTCCCTCATTCTCTCCCAGTTTTTCTTCCCAACTTCCCTCCCCCCAAAAAAACTTGTATCGTTCATTTCCAACATAGTGTCTAGTGAGTACTACTGCTGAATTGGTTCACCCTTTGTCCCAGTTTCTGTGCTTCCCCTTCCCCTTCCAAATCAGATAAATTTATACACAAGGAAAGGGGTACAGAAATTTAGAAAAGCAACAGAAGGAATAAAACAAAGAAAAAAGGAAAGAAGAAAAGAAAGAAAAAAGAAAAACTAAAAAAAAACAAAAATGAACCATAAACATTATAAAAAAACATTCACACAATGAGCCCAAGTAAGTGAAGAGATTTTTTATTAACCTAATACTTTTATATATTGGAAGGGCATTATGCATCCTGTGAACTGTCTTTCCCAGAACTAATTCCTAAGGGCAAATTGCTCCCCTTAGTAAGATTTTCACATTTAAACTAAGTAACTGAGAGCTTAAACCCCAATGAACTCCTATTTGAAACTCTCATAACTAAGGCCATTATTCAACCTCTCTAATCACCTCTAGGATCCGTGTCAGAGAATTAAGGATAGCCCCTCCACCTCAAAGCCTCTGAAAGTTTTCAAACTAGCCCAATCCTATACCCCCTTACTATCACCTGTGTGTTCAGTCACCTGGGTCTCCTTTTCCCCAGAAAACCATGATAGTCTCATCATGGTTCTTCCTTTCCTATCCTATTTACTCTGGAGCATTCATTTGTGACCCTGTGTGACCCTGGGCAGCATGGTATGCACTCTTCTCCTGCTTTCTTCCTTGCTTGTTTCAGTGCTAGGGATTGAACTCAGGGCCTGGGTGCTGTCCATGAACTTTGTTATTCAAGGCTAGCACTCTAGCTCTTAAGCCACAACTTACATCTAATAGACTTAACTGCCTGGGCTGGCTTCTAACTGTGATCTTCAGATCTCAGCTTCCTCAGTAGCTAGGATTGCAGGCATGAGCCACCAGTACCCTGCTCAGACTTGTCTTTATTTTTTTTTGCCAGTTCTGGGGTTTGAACTCCTAGAACCTGGGCACTGTCCCTGAGCTTCTTTTGCTAAGGCTAGCACTTGAGCCATCACACCACTTCTGGCTTTTTCTGTTTAGTGGTACTGAGGAATTGAACCCAGGGTTTCATGCATACTAGGCAAGCACTCAACCACTAAGCCACATTCCCAGCTCCAAACTTGTCTTTTTAATGACAAAATCATCTTTGGGACTGATAGCTTCATAAATCTAAAAGATGAGTATTTGGAGCTAGCGGAGGCTTTGTTTCAGAAGAGGATCTAAAGTATATTCCCATGTTTGCTACCTGGCTGATGTTTTATAAGTTGATACATAGCTGGAAACCAGGGCTTATGCCTATAATCCTAGCTACTCAGGAAGCTGAGATCTCAGGATCACGACTGGAAGCCAGTCTAGGCAGCAAAGTCTGTGCGACTCTTATCTACAATAAAGTACTCAGAAAAAGCCAGAAGTGTAGCTGTGGCTCAAGTTGTAGGGTACTACCTTTGAACAAACGAAGCTCAAGAACAGTACCCAAGCTCTGAATCACACACACACACACACACACACACACACACACACACACAGAAAGTTGACACACAGTTGCAGTACTACAGAAAGCAGTGTATTCTTAGTCTCAGTAAACATTTCAAAAAATACTTAAATATATCACATGGGCAGGTTTTCAAAATAAATACAAAATTCTTTCAATTCTTTCCCTCATAGACTCTATTGTCTACCAAATAAGAATTTCTTACTGTTGTTTTTTGCTTTGTTTTCTGAGGATCAAACCCAGGGTCTCATGCCAGGCAAGCACTGTATTACTGAGTTACAACCCAGTCCTCTATGTTGTAATGATTTCAAAATAGTGTTCAGTGGACTGACGCAGGATCACATTACAGAGCAAGCAGTCCACCCAAAGAGCCAGAAGCCCTCACAAGGGAAGAAGACAAGCAGAAACTAAAAAACAAAAAGGATTGCGATTTGAAAACTAAGAAGTAGTGTATTAAAAAGATGTAGAGAAAGATGGTTCCAGTTGAGTGAACAGATTTGCAAGAGACAAAGAAGAGGTATATTCTAGTAACTCAAAGAAATTCAATGGATAGAGTGTAGCATTTAAGAAGCAAGTAGGCAAGGAAAAGAAGAGCTAAACGTAGTCTAGAAAAGGGTGAGATAGGACCTTTGCCAACCACACAAAGATGGGCAAATTCCACGTTAAGTGCAGTGAGTTTCTAATAAGTGATGTGTGTGTGTGTGTATGTGTGGTGTGTGTGTGTCTGTCTGTCTGTGCACGCATGTGCATGTGCATGAATTGTTGAAGATCACTCAACTTATAGCAATCACTAATGTAGATGTGAATGATGACCCAGAGTGGAGATGATAAGATGAGAGCTGTGGTAATAATCCAGCTGTGAGTACAAAGTGGACTACAGTCAGGCCACCAATGATGGTGGGAATACAAAGAAAGAAAGATTGGAGCATTACAGCTCACAGAACATTGAGCAAAGAAGTGGGGTCATGGAAGACCTTCAGGAATCCTGGGTAAATGAGAGGTTACTCATGGAGAAGGGGAAGACTGGAGAAGCAGGTTCACAAAGAAGGAAGACGTGCCTTCCCAGCACAGGTGAATGGAATGGCCACCCACAGAACCAAGAAAGCCTCCTCCAATGTAACAGGAAGAAGTGGGCAGTTACAGTACAGATGTGAAGACAGGATAACAGGAAATTGGTGTGTCCATCTCAAGTCTTTCATTTCATTTTCTCCGAAAGTCATATGGTAAGTGGCATATTGAGAAACAAGCACATGTTAAAGGAGATGGAAAAAATATTTTGAGGAAGAAGAGAAAAAATAGAATGCTTTTCATAAACACTAAGCAAGGCACTAACCAAGGAAACCTCGCTGTACTGCTAGGCAATATCAAAGAGCCAGCTAAGACCAACAAGCATACATTTATAATGCGATTGATATTTTTAAGTTCTACTTTTAACAGCCTCCTGTACTTAAAAAATTCTCATCATTGGCCAAACAAACATCACTTAACAGAATCTTACGGATATCCTAAAAATTGTCAGGAAGTAGGTTTATCAGACCGTTAAGTGGGTGAAATGTTTTATGGTGTTATATATTAAATGTGTTATATTCATTTGCTTTGATCTCTTCTCTGGATGTGGAAAACATTATAAGACTCACACCTGAGTCTGTATGCAACAAGGTGGAAGCTACTGTGTAGAACAGAAAATGACTCTGCAGCTCAAAGAGAACCAGGAAAGGAGAAAAGGACAGACATTCATTTTAACAAGTCAGAAAGGCGCCTGTAAAAGATGCCTCTTTTATCCTCTACAGTGAAAAATCAGTTTAAAAAAATTCATGCGAAAATCATACACAAAAAATAGCTGACTGCCAAAGGGAAAGCCATCACAGATTCTTAAAAATGTTGTACGAATAGTTAAGAAATAAGACTGGCTTGAGAAGCAAAATAACATGCAGCTTTAAGGAGATAAACACTTTAGAAATATCCAGTACATCAACTCTCCACCTCTCAGTAACTGTGATCTCTAAACACTCACACATACTTATACATAAATACATGCATGCACACAACCTTCAAAATAAGTACTAAAGGAATAACTACTTTGCAAATGGTTGAACATGTCAGATGTTTTTTACTTGTTATTTTACTTTATTTAATTTCACTGAATTGGATTTTCATTGCTCTATGAGATGGTATTTTAACCTCCATTTCTAAATGTAAGAAAACTGAAGAATAAAGAGAACAAAAAAATTTAGTGAGACATTTCAACCAATAATCCTGATGTGGTGGTGTCTATGATCTCAGCTACTAATCTACAAGGAGCCCCAGATGAAAATGTATTTTGTCTGAAAAAATAACAGCAAGAGATGTCTAGAAGCATGGCATAAATGTATATCATATCCCTTAAAAAGTTAAGGTACCCTTTGTTCAAATTCCAGTACTGTCAAAAAATGAAAAAGAATAAGATGAAGGAGGAGGAAGAAGAGAAGGAAGAAAAGGAGGGAAAAGAAGAGAAGGAGGATGAAAAGATGTAGGAAGGAGAGAAGTGGGAAGAACAGGAGGAGGAAAAAGAGGAGATGAAGGAGGGAGAGGAAGAAAAGGAGAGTAAGAGGGAAAAAGGAGGAGATAGAAGAGGGAGAGAAGGAGGAAGAGGAAGAGGAAGAAGGAGAGAAAGGGAGGCAAAAGCAATAGGAGGAACAGGAGGAGGAAAAGAAGAGGAGTTGGAGGAAGCGATGAAGGAGGAGGAGGAGGAAGAAGAAGAAGAAGAAGAAGAAGAAGAAGAAGAAGAAGAAGAAGAAGAAGAAGAAGAAGAAGAAGAAGAAGAAGAAGAAGAAGAAAGAGGATGAGATGGAAGAGGAAGAGGAAGGAGATGAAGGAGAACCACCAAGACTTAGAAAGATAAACATTTTTATACTGTAAGAAGACCTACCATGGCATAGAAGGATAATACTTCTAAAATTTATTTATTGTTATTCTAAGGGTGATGTACAGAGGGATTATGGTTACATAAATCAGGAAAAGAGTTCATTTCTTTTTTAACAATGTCACCCCTTCCCTCACTTTCTCTGAGTAGATAATATTTTTAAAACCTTGCCAGGCAAGGCACATTCTACTTCCACAAATCCTAGAGTTTACTATCAAACTTTCTGAACAGAGAAAGTCTTTGCAATACAGTAGCATGTATTCATTCCTTATCTCCTACAAGTCATAATCCAAAAAATTATATTGGACACATTTTCAAAATTCACTTATTATCTAATTTTAAAATTTGTATTATAATAAATATAAATACAGTTAAATAACATCATATAGGTTTTGCTTGGTGTGTGTATCCATTATTTTTTCTCTTTCTGTCTACATTAACTTTTTCATTTCTACATTAACTCTATGAAATGATAAATGATAAATCACCAACTGTAGTCATGCATCTGTTCTGAATCCAAAACTAAAAACAAAACTCTCTAGGTCCACCCCTTCTTAGATCATCTGCTTTTCAGTTGCATTTTTTTACTCATATTGTTATAACAAGCTCCGTTGAATGATTCATACTTCCTTCAAAGCCAGGATTTCTAATAGATATTTACTGATAAATATTGTAGAATGTTGGATTTAATAGTTTGGAGATACTCTTTCTCTTCACCAATATCATGGTGTCAATTGTTAATTATTGATGAATCTACATGCTATATTTGTATATTTTTGTGACTTTTTTATTATTAATAACTTTTATTGTGCAAATACCATACAGAGGGATTACAATTATATGAGCAAGGTAATAAGTACATTTCTTATCAAGCATTGTTGCCTCCTCCTTTGTGTCCCCTTACCATCCCGGCCCCCCCACCCCCCACCTCCCAAAATTGTAAAGTTCCTTTTTCGACATAGCATTTTGTACATTTCATTGTTGCAATGGATCCACTTGTATCCTTATTTAAACAATTTGTTTTTTCCCTTCCCCTCCACAAATTATACCAACACCAAATATAGTGAAAACAGGGGTTATACCATGGGGGGAGGGACATACAAAGCAACAAAAAAAATCACCTTATAAATATGTTAGAAACAATAGCAAGCAAGAAAAACCATTTAAGTCCTTATCTTGGGGTTCATTTAGCCTAACATCAACTTATCTGACCTTTTCTGCTTGTCTCAGACATATACTAGTTATTGCAAATAAGGGAAACCATGGGACCTATGTTTCTTTGGGCCTGGCTTAGTTCACTTAATATATTTTTGTGACTTTGTCAATTATGTTTATATAGTAAGATTCATCTTCTTTCAAACTATGTGATCTGTACCATCTTCTTGTAGGTAGTCCTATCTGTTCGTTGATTGAATTGCCTTAGGGGAAAAGCAAGCCTTTAATAGTCAAGAGGAAATTTCCATACTATTTGTATAAGGTAAATCTACATTCCTTTTTTAAAAAATAATGACTGCCCCTTAAAATAGACTAGATCAAAGTTGATCCTGCCACTCCTTAAGGATCTGGAGATAAAAGTCAACATCTTTGTAACTAGCTCCCATTATGAACAATTCCTTTGTCTAGTAAAGCCTAATTTCTGACCCACCTCTCTTGCTGTGTTGAACTCATAATCATGCAGGAAGTCACTTTCAGTTTGAATTCAATTTTCCCCACACTACTCCCCTGACTCATCTTCAAGTTCTGTTGTGAATAAAAATAATAATAGATCTGAACTCATAGATTAGACATTCGAACAGAACACATTGAGTAAGAACCGACTTGTTCAAAAGGTGGAGGCTGACTCCTCCAGGAAATATAAAGCTGTGAGAGCTTACATACTCGAGGAGACATTCTGTAGACAAAACAAAACAAAGACCAGAAGACAACATTCCAATTTCTAGAAAAAAGCATTGTAAACAAAGTAAAAATTTAAAGATACTAAAGCATTTGGCCTAATGTGACTCTTCAATGTATTCTGAGTAACACTTCAGCAGTAGGATGAACTATGATCATGAATGTGTCACTAAGATAATGTAGAATATGTGCAAATTCTTCACATTAGAAAAATGACTTCAACATTGTATGATAAACTCATTTAGTGTAATAAGATTTGTCCTTTAAAATGCAGCTGTTGAAGTGGATGAATCTGAGTGTGCATCTTATGATAGTTTAAAATTGCATCAGAACAAGATGTCATATACAGAAGCTACTAGAAATGGATATGCATATATATGAAATAATATTAAGTATCAAAATCAAAGGCCAAGTGAACCTTGTGAAAAAGATTTACAAATATGAGAAGTATTTAAACCTAACATATTTATAAATTAAAATTGTTTTGGTAATTCTGTTTGAAATTTTTATGTTATTACATTTTTTTTTACTGAAAAGACCACATACAGAATATCATACATAGGATACAATGTCTAAAACTATAGTTAGGAGAGATAATGAAGGAGCAACTATTCCTGTTTTTGTTGTGTGGATAGCACATTTTTTAAAATTATATACCTAATTGAATACTTTAAGTTGAAGTTCTGTAGTAAAGTTATTGCCATTAGCTATTGGTGATTTATCACATAAAGTCGTGTATTTTTAAAGTCGAAAGCATCCTCCAAGAACTAACTCACCTTTCCATTTTCTCAGAGGCCTAAGAGAGTAGCAGAGAAATGAGTAATAGTTTTTCCTTTTATTGGAGAAGAAGCTAAGGTTTGCAATTTTTAATGCTTCATCTACTTACAAGTTTCAATTCTTTAGGATTTGTTATTTCTCCAAAGTAACACCAACATAACTCTCTACATTTATCTTCTATACCCCAGCCTATTCGGTATGAATCCCCTTTCTCAATGCCACACTTTCCTTATGTATGTGTTTAGTTGGGTTTTGTTGTGTAGAAGCTCCCCACGCCACATCTTTACCTTAATTTTACACATACGTCTATTTCTTGCTACTGGAAACTCATCTTAAAAGCAGTATGTTTAAATATTTGGCAAAAAGTGGATTTTTGTTTCATTTGTCTGCTTGCTTATTGTTATACACCTGTTCAAGTACTTCTCTCTATCGCTGTTCCAGACATTGTGAAGAAAAACATTGCATTATAACAGAGACAAAGGTTTCAGAAGTAATGCTCATTATGTAGGAAAAATACCTTCTGATAATTCTTAGATTACACTGGCTCATGGCAATGTGATAACATGGGCAGAAGTGTCATGTCCTCTTGAGTTAAAAATGACTCTGCCATGTGAAATAGTCCTAGAATTTTGCAGAATGCTTACCATGTAC